TGTTTATAAGTTTATTAACTTAATTATTCAATGTTTTGATTAAATTTCTCGAGAAATTTGTTCAGGAGAAATTTCTAGAAAGTTTCTCCGAGAAATTTCTAAGAAATTTCTTTTGGCCCAACACTATTCATTATAGACACAAATGTTTTAAAATTAAAATATACAAATTTTATCTATACAGATAATACATTTATCTTGTATAAATTAAATTAAAAAAATTATTTTCCATAGTATCGGAATTGTCAATTGTCACAAATAAACTATAATTGAAATAGTTATTAAATAATTCAAATTAATAGTGTAATCACGTAAAAGAAATTAGTAATTTCCAGACATTATGTACGATACAAATCGCATATTTAATGTCACTTCAAACGGAATGGAGAAAATTACAAGCTTGGTCATTTCATGACTATTCATTTATAAATTTTAACATTATTTTAAATTGTAAACCTCGTAAAACTATAATACTTTTATACCTATCATTTCATAATTTGAGGTTAGTTTCCAAAATTTATTAGAACCTAAATATTCTTAACGTTAATTACCATTATATCCTAGTATTAGATAAACCTATAATTAGTGTCATATTATTAGGCGATTATATATAAACTAGAAAAATATCAGACAGAAAAGTAATAAATTAAATATTAATTTAATAAATAAAAGCAGTGAAAATCATTAATATTAAATAAACTCATATTAATTAAAGGTATCATTAATTGTATAAAAAATAATTTGTTTTAAGTTATAAATACACTGTATGTATAACACACGGAATATATTGCTAAATCTATAATACTAAATCAATATTCTAAGTTTGGTTCAATAGATGTATAATTATTACAAAATAATACAATAGTTTATATTCAGACTTACGGTTGTATTCGTGAAACATTGGAAAGAGTAAAACAAGAAATATATTGAACGCAAATTAATTGAATTCAAGGTTTTAGTTGTTTGACAAACTCGTGGACCGCGACTCCCATACGGCCACAACTCTTAGCACTCTATTGAAAATCGATACCAATTTGATTAGCAGTTATTACCGTTAATGAACTCAATTCTCAACACTAAACCAAACATTGCTTTCCAAACACTTTATCACACTTTCGCGTCAAATGCACAGCATTTACATTGAATTCAGTCCTTAAAATCATTATATAATATACCCTTTTATTCACTGTTATATAATATAACTTATATTCAACGTAGAAAATAAATTCATTAAGGCATTTTTTCATCCAAACAATTATAATATTTCTTTTCTAATATCCGTTATTTTAAGAAGAATTCCAATTCAAACAGCAATAAAAATTTAAATAATAAAATAGCAAAGTATTTGAGACATAAATAAATGTCCATTAGTTCTGCCTTTTTTTAGGATCTAATGTCATATTTAAATGAATGTAAATGTTTCACATCATTCAGAAAAGTCTCATTTATTTAATTATCATTGCTCTTTATAAACAAGTAATAAGTGTTTGAAGACATTTCTAATGGTATGCGAAACCCATTCGACATCATTTCCATAATGACTACTTACCTGTTATTAGAGTGAGACTCAGGTCTTGATAAATATAATATACGTTGAAATTGAGCCCAAAATTAACAAAAACATTCAAATATAATGCCATTCATTGTAACTCATCTGTGAATTAAATAAAATTGTTTTATTCTTAAATAATTTATTAAATAATAAAATTACAATAAATATACTCTTATATAAGCGGAAATCAATTGAAAGCAAAATATATTTTTAAAATTGTTATTTGACTTAAACTTTTCTCGTAGTTTTAAAATGTAAAATAAATAATAGAAAAAACAATTAACAATTGTTTGATGATTTTTGTGTAAATCTCAATCAAATAGTAAATTACGAAAACAAGAATATTAAGTGTTAAACACTTTCTCGAAGACCCAACATATGGTAATGGAATGCAATGTAATGTATAAATAATTGTAACATTAGTTTCTCATTCAATCAAAACTGGACATCAATTCATCAATTGTTTTGCACTTAAATGTTGTTTCAATTGTTATCTCTTTTGTATGTTTTTAGTTATGTTTTCCGTATTTATCTAAAATTCAAGAAAAGGCACAAAAGTGTGAAGAATTCAAAAGTTTTTTGAGAATATTTAGTTCAAATCAATTTCAAGCTTCAAATAATGAGAACTCATTGAGTGAGCAAATGATTGCATCGACTTTTGCAACATTTTGTTTCTTTCGTTGACTTTCATCTCATTTTAATCGTTACTAAACCGTCGGAACAGTTATAACATATTATCCGATTCTCTATCATTTTCATTAATCTCTTGTTTAGATGTCTGCCATTTAAAGTTACTTTTCATTTGCCATTTCTGTGAATTCCTTCCGTCGCACCGCTTAAGCACCGGTAGAGTCGAGTCTTTCTCGGGATCCGCTTTATCCAAACAAAGACCAGTATTTCTGTGAACAATAACTTTTGTGCGTTCGCTGTAATCCCACATCTGATTGCCTCCCATTCCGTGACAGCGAATCAATTTCACAGAACTCTTAGCGTCCGAAGCGTCCAAACAATTGTCGTCAGACATAATCTGCTTTCTCTTTGAATACGCAAACACTTGATTTCCTCCCAAACCGTGGCATTGAGTCATCGCTAAGTTTTCGCCACTTTTACGGCCATAAGTATCCAAACAGTTGTTGTTATCAATATTTTTAATGTCTCCCAAAGAATAGTAGTCTAAAGGCATAGAACTCTCGGGATATATATTCTCTAAATACCATCGAAAGCCTACAAACAAACATAATATTAATAACAAATTTAAACATTAATTTAGAATCAAATACTTTTGCATTTAAGGTCTCGTCTTAATTGTTTGCGAGACTCAGTGTTTCCCATCTCCGCCTTCTTTGCCGCCGGATTTATGGCATAATAAAAGTCTTTCCATTCGTCGAGCCATACGT